GCAACCGTTTGTAGAATGTGTGGTACCACATCTTCCCCATATCACCCCACTTAGTCGCAATACCATGTTCAATTCGGTACTTCAGTGTCAGGATAACACGTTTCGATCGAGCATCGTCTCCCACATGACTGTCCTTTCCATCCATTCCCACAGTCACTACTTGATGTCTAGTTCTTCCAACAATAGGGAGTAATACGGCTCTGCGAGCATCATTTTTGGTGAAGCCAGCTTTACACATACCAGACTCATTGCAAATAACAGGGGTAGCGATGTCTTCCCCAGCCACTCCTCTCGGTAAAGGAACAATATTGTAACTTTCATCGAAGTAGGCATCGCGCTCTACTGTTGGAAGTTCATGACCTACACTTAGAGATTCCAAAGTCACTTTCTCCTTCGTTCCTGGATAATCTAACAGTTTCGACTTTTCTAGAGACTTTATCCTAAGGTCATGGGAAGGACTTACGAACCTGTGAACGTACTCCTTTTCTCCGTCATCACTGTTAGAAACAGAAGATAACTTGCTACACGTGCTTTCGTTCAGCCTTAACGACCCAAACTCTCTCTGAAAGCACAGTAGTTGTTTCCTCTGTCTATCTTTCAAGTCCCTCATTTCTAATAATTGCCTTTCTTTTAACTCTGCTAAGGTAATTCTAGGGCTAACTTTAGTACGTCTACTTAATAAACTAACATTAGAGCCATGACATGAAAATGCATCTAATTTGACTTGCCGTACCTCTGGAGGTGTATCCAATTGCATTTCTCCGTGGCCCAATGCCAAGTTTTCGTTGACCTTATTGAGCTTTCCAGGCATTCCGGAATTTGTCACTTGAGATTACTGTTCGTTTGAGAACTGTAACGACCGAACAGCCAATATTCGGTTGGAACAACGGACTGACGAACCCAAAATTTATTCGATTAGACCAGACCAAGTTCCTCTGTATAGCCCACAACGCGTCTTTGAGATACTCGTATTATATTATATCAAAACACAAACTCTGTGCTCAATATAAACGGTTCTAATTAAGAAAACAGAACAAATTACATCAAAAATACAAAATACCTCAAACGGTACAGCCTGTGCTATACAGTCAGAAGTTTCTCTAACGCAAAGTAGCGCGCTGAGAATCAATACAAATATTCCCAATAAGATGAGATCAAATATCTATCTGCAGGGATTGCAGCAATTCTCCCAAGCAGACAGTCAGAAGGTTAACAGTCACAAGATGAACCACGCCGTGACCTTGAGCTTAGTCAAACACAACCTTACTGCCAATGGTCCGGCAACATGCAATAGAAAATTAGGTAACAAAAAATAAGTCTTTAATCAAAATCACATAATAAAGGCTCAAACGAGGAAGACTGAAGAACAAAAGATATGGTTAAACGAGATCGAAACAAAGGTTGGAATACACAAAAGGGAGAAGGAACAAATAAATGAAAATACTGTTCAACAAAGAAGCTGCAGAGGGATTTTCACTGTCCTTTTTCCGTTACAGTCATTAATAATAATAATAAAGGAATAATCAGTTTTGATTGTGGAGATTGTTGAGTTTCGATTGAGACGATGAATCGATCAATTTTAGACCACTTTTGTAAACCTGGAAGCATTGGACGCCGTTTCAACCTAGTAAGGGAAGCGCATTGCTGAGAAATCTAATACTAGGACGAAATGGCCGTCCAGTGATTCCTGGTTTTCAGTGATTATCTAACATTGTTCGATTCATGATATCAATAAAAAATAGTAAAGAAACTGCTACAAATATAACTAACAGAACGGATTAATTTATTATTTGTTGAATAGCTTTGAAAAAACTACGCTCGAACTTCAAGTGTACGTTGGTAATTTTTTTCTTCCTAAAATGCTAATAAAATATTCATAATAAAAGCCAATTGAATCGGCAAACTCAAGTTACTTACTTACCTTATTACTTACTTACGGCTGTTGCTCCTCGTGGAGGAGCATAGGCCTCCAAACAGCACTCTCCATTCAACCATCTCCTAGGCAACCCTTCCAGCTCGTTCCAGTTCTTATTCATCCTCTTCATATTTGATTCTGTTTCCCGATGTAATGTATTCTTTGACCTTCCTCTTTTTCCCTTCTCTTCACGATTCCAAGTTAGGGCTTGTCTCGTGATGCAGTTTGGTGATTTCCTCAAAGTATGTCTTATCCATTTCCACTGTCGTTTCCTTATTTTATCTCGTCAAATCAATTTTATTTACTTATGAGTAATCAGATATTTTATACTTAATTTTCTATTCAAAGCGTAATGCTCATGGAAATGTGAGTTTGAAGATTATTCCCAGTTATAGAACACATCCATTACAATGTGAAGTAAGTGGTTATTTTTTTCAAATTAATGATTAAATATGTAAAATGCATTAGGAATATCAAAACTTTGTTTGATTTGTTATAATAAAATTTTCGGCAAGACTATAATTTATGGATGAGTCAATTAGATATAAGATAACGAGTCACAAACTTTTGGCGCAAGATTCATCCATCCATTTGAATAAATAGAGTTCCGGCATTATAGCTGACATCAATCCGTGATAAAAACCCTAAATCTGATTTCTAACACAAACCATCAATTGTGCATGAGAATTTTAACTGGTTTATAACTGTCATTAAGTCCTAATCTGTGGGTGTTCAATCTCAACGTCACTTCAGTGTCGCTCAAAGGTCGTCCATAAATTAAAGTGTCACCATATTCTCTACAATGATGTCGTAATCTGTCTTATGTAGAGGGGTCAAGTTTACAGTTTTTGCTCTTCAAAGCTTTTGATGTTTTCTTTCTCATATCTTCAGCAAAGGTTGAATGTTATACGTAGACATAAAAAACAATGGACTTTTAACCAACTGAATCATAACAAAGTGAACTGTGGATAGTAATTTTTTTATTTTTCATCTAATAGACCGTACCAATTCGATTTCATTGACAGTATTCTTTGTCTATTTACAATTCCTTAGATTTGATCTATTTAAAATTACAAGTATTATATGTGTAGCTGATCATTGAGTCAAGACCAGTATTTTAATTGTGTAGTGATATAGTACTGATCGAATTCTATTGTGATCAAACTGCAATGTCACCATTGATTTAAGTGACTCAAAGTTATATAAACTGAGTTGAAATGTCAGAAAGTATCCATTATCCAAGATTGTAAATACGCTTTGCTAAAGAGTGTCATCTGACATGAAACTGAAGCCAAGAGTTTTCTTAATTCTTATCTCAACCGTCTACCAACTCAACAATATGATATATGTATATAAATTCCCGACCGTTGTTGCTACCTTGACGCGGTGGTCGGGCTTGCCTATCGTGATGAAAAGGTCGTGTGTGACCGACCTTAAGCTGTTGTCCCTCTTATCCAATTTCCTTTTCAGGCACCTCCAGAACAACCCTTCCACGGTGTGGGCAACCGGGAAGTGATAACCGCCCTCATACCTCTAACAGCACTCAACACCACTGACTGACTGACTGACTGTGTATAAATTAAAAATATAATAGATCGATTACTTGGTTATCTTATCTTTTATAGACTACTCAAAACGTAATATACTTTTGAAAATGAATTCATCATTAGACTATTGTGTTATTTCAGAAGGGGTTTTATGGAGATTGTAATAATTACGATAATTGAAATCATAAGTCAATTGATATTGTGTTGTTTCTTTGTTAAGACATATGACAGATCACCAAAGAGATTCAGTAGATTATCCCATGACAAATGTTTACCATGAATGAAATGTAGTCGATTAACATTATTGTCAAGATTGGACATGATCATTTCAAATAAATGGAGCATTAGATAAGAATTTAAATATAAATGTTATAATCCAATAAGTAGGTAAATGAATACAGTAACTGGTCATGTAAATGCACCTTGACCAAGAATAACTTAACATTGACAATATTCAGACCTATTATGACTTTGATTGTACTGAAAAACAAATAAACTATTCTGCATCATTTCCTTTGTACTATTTACACTTGTGTTCATTTAATGTTAGTTATTTTATTTACTCTGAAGAAGTGGCTTACATTCGGTTGCAAAACATCGTCAGTAAATGTTATGTCTCGATATGCATAATGTAGGGTAACTTTTGTGATCCATCTATGGATCAATACTATATGTACGTTTTCATCGTATAATCGTTGAATAATTAAAGTATGTATATTCATGTCTCTCTTGTCATGAGCTTTATTTTGACCTATGAACTATTATTATACGATTTACCATTGCTGAATTATGACTACCTCCTACATTCACAGCCACTTTCGGCCAAATTTTGTACAAATGTGTATGTTCTACTTTATGGTAAGTGGTGGTCTATCTGGTTGGTATATAAATCCAGTACGTTTTAAATATAATGATTCATATTGCAGACGCTGAGATTGATGTTGTGGACTCAACTGACTGGGCTAGGCGGAGAGCAGGACCAAGCAGGATTCTAGACTGCTCATACAGGTTCACGCGTCATTGATTTGATCGATAATCGGCGGTCACAAGTTAAAACAGAAATATAATGAAAATATATTTATTATTTTTTGTCATATTATGTATTAGAATGAATAGACATTTATCATTTTGACTTTCATTGTTCAGTGTACTTAATAAATAGCTGTGCTTCTAGAGGTAAATATTGATTTTTGAAGATGAATTGTTACCACACTTATTATCAAATGCATAGGACTGAACTTGTATTAAGCTTTATTTCGAAAACTTGAGAATCGGGTACTCCAACGCTTTTTTTCTCTGATTGATCGACTGTGTAATAACTAACATTTAGTTGTTGTTAAGAAAAAGGTATTAGAACTATAGAAAAAACGAAAAGTTCTACGTTTTGATTTTGAACGTAAATTTCTTTAGGGTAACGTGTTCGAAATTGATGAGTTACTCCTGCATTAAAATCCATGTTGGATAATCTTCTGAATGTTTATTATTATCTCTTGAATTATATCTGCACATAAACACCGTTCTTTTTTTATTTGGTTCAGGCTCGTTTATGGGGTTCGGATTGTCAAGCACCAGCGGGTTTAATTCCTAGTCCAGAATTACAAGAATGGCGTATGGCAAATAAGGCAGCTGAATTATCACGTGAAATGGGTATTACACATTGTGGTGCATGGTTTAAACGTCGTAAACGTCATTTTAAAGATAAATACAAAAATAAACATTCAGCTATTTATGATCAATTAGATTTAGTTACTTATGAAGAAGTTGTCAGATTACCACAATTTCGTCGTAGAACATTAGTATTACTTGGTGCACATGGTGTTGGACGACGTCATATTAAAAATTGTTTAATTCAATCATCACCGGATAAATTTGCATATCCTATTCCTCGTGAGTTATAAATACATAATGATAGAAGTTAATCGTATTTTATAATTTTTCATAAACTAATTGTTTACTGAATAAAATGATTGAAAACAACATACCCAATAATAATTATTGGTAAAACTGTGGACGATGTAAAATCCTCCATGTACCTGGGATCCATCATCGATGAACAAGGAAGATCAGATGCAGACGTATAGGCGGAGATTGGCAAAGCAAGAGCAGCATCCCTACACTTGAAGAACATATGGAACTCAAAACAACTCTCTATTAACCAATATCAAATTGAGAGCTTCCAAAACGAACGTCAAGGCAGTCCTACTGTACGAAGCTGAAACTTGAAAAACTACTACAACCATCATTAGGAATGTACGAGTATTTATAACCATCGACAACAATGGCCTTCTGTGAGAGAGAACAAACCAGCTTCCAGCTGAGGAAACAATTAGGAAGAGGCGATGGAAATGGATAGGACATACATTGAGTAGACCACCAAACTGCATCACGAGACAAGCCCTAACTTGGAATCGTGAAAAGAAGCGGAAAACAGGGAGGCCAAAGAATATGAAAAGGCTGAATAACAACTAGAAAAACCTGGAAAGGATTGGATGTAGAGTGCTGTTTGGCGGCCTATGCTCCTCCACCAGGAGTAATAGGCTTAAGTAAGTAAGTAAGTAAGTAAGTAAAAAAGTAAGTAAGTAAGTATGTAGGTATGTATGTAAGTTGTAGTCTTAGTCATCAGTTTTAGCCTATAATATATCTTATTCTAGTTTCCGGACATTCCATTCTATTCATTCTACTTGAGTCATGTTTTGACCTTGTTAATTATTCGCTTATTAGCCTTGACTGTTTTCACATGAGCGTATATGTGTGTGCACTTCATGTCCCATGACTCAACACATATCTGTAGTTTATTTTGTCCGCCTATAAATATTGAGTAATGCCCGGCTTGAACTGGAGTTGGCGTCCCAGCCAGCTTCTATACGCTCTAAATGAAGACAGATCAACGGCACAAGAAAGTAAGTAAGTAAGCAAGCAAGAACGTAGCCATAAAACTGTACTTTTTTATTATGACACTCTGAAAAATAATTTCCATTGCAATCGTTACTCTTTTAAAAATGTTCTATGTTAGAAAGGCTTCGCCTTCATTGTTAATCAATTGAAAGATTTACGAATTCACCTCGAAAATTCATAGATTTATCACGAATTAACAGATTTAAGTGATGATGAAAAAACTCGTACACCACGTAAAGATGAAGTGAATGGAAAAAATTATTACTTTATTTCACATGATGAAATGATACGTGATATTGCTAATAATGAATACTTAGAATATGGTTCACATGAAGGAGCAATGTATGGTACAAAATTGGATACAATAAGACAAATACATGTAACTAGTTTAATTGCTATATTGGATGTTGAACCACAAGCATTGAAAATATTACGTACTGCTGAATTTGCTCCATGTATTGTATTCATTGCAGCTCCAACTCTCACTAATATCACTAATGGACAGAATAATAACAATAATAATAACAATAATGGTAATGATAATGTAAGTTGCGTAACATCATTTTTACAAACGGATTTATAACTTTTTCAGTTATACCTTCCTTCTTTAAAACTCAGCACTGAATTTTTAATGTTTTCATTAACGATCAATCTGTCCAGGATTCTTGTAATTTTTCGAGATCATGAATCGACCAATATTATACCACTATTAGTAGCGTGCATGCACTGGGTGACCGTTTCGTCCTATTATGGGTCTCCTCAGTAATGCACACCTACTATATCGCACACGGGATTCGAAATCAGAACCTTTGGTTTCACTCAAACATCGAACGGTTGATTGTTCCTTCGTTTCCACACCAATCATTTCGTTTTCTCGTTTTCTTTCCATTGATCTACTTAACCTTCTGCTGCCAGACGTTTCACTTTTGATGGATGATACATACTAGTGATATCTGTTGACATCAGTAGCATACATCACATGGATTTTAAGCCACCAATACCGTAGTTGTAGTTGGTAGTTTAGCAAAAAGGTGAAGTATTCAGAACTGAGTGCTGCGAATTTCAACGGCCTATCAAAAATTATCGTGCGAAAATTTTTGAACTTGTCAAAGTCATCTGTCACACTTAATGTAAAGTTTTCCACATGCAGGTTCACAGCCACAGTGATGAGTTCCTAAGATACTGCTATAACTCGTAAATTACATCAGTTTTCGTATTGTATGTTGTTATTAGAGAAATGTTTACATAAATTAATTCAAGTCAACCGATCTATTGGTCTGGAACATAGTATTTACAACTACGGGAAGCACACTTTATGAAAGCCGTCTTGGTTATTGTTGAATAATGTTGCCTAGCATTCCTAAGTACACGTATTTAGAGATGACTGTGAATATTACATCTATTACTTGTTCATAAAGAATAAGTGGAATATGTCTAGCAGTGAAACCTAAAACTCGCGTCTCACTTGGGATTCGTCGGCCAAATATATCACTGACAGTTAAGCTATTGATTTTTCGTTACTAGTGTTCTTTTCATATATACTATCGGCTACGTTTGTGAACCATTCACAGACGTTAACCTAATATATTAATCAGCAAAGACAGGGCACCAAGTGAACAATAAAATTCATCACCAGTTTTCAATTCCAACGGGATTTCCGTTGGCAGAATTAGAAAATTAGTTGTCGCTTAACTTTATTGATAAGCGATCTTTATATTGTAAATACATTATTAACGCACTTGTTTTATGTGTGGAAGAAGAAGTTAATTTCAATTTTCTCATAAAAATGTTTAATATCACTCATTCAGGAATCAAAATCACTTGTGAAAGGCTAGAATATCACCGTAGTACATCATTTGATTTCCTACCAAAAGAAAAATAAGAGGTCATGTTAGTCATACAGTGACTATAAAAGAAATACAGAACACATTATAAAAAGCCGTCATGTGGTTTCACGATTAAAATTATATTTGGAAATCATTTCAAACTTTTAATTAGGTAAAGGCTACATTTGATTGCTGATTTAAAAGAAATAATTATTGAATAGCTAAAATAAGAAGAGTTACAAGTAAATCAATATTCCGATTGACGCCATGTTTCATATAAACGCATGCTGCGTACTGTAAATACAAGTAGGGATTCAAGTTCGACTACTTCCACATTCATTTTTCAAATCCATTACACTCGTCAAAAATGCTAAATAGGCCAAACGACTCAACAAGCTTTAGTATGCCACAGATGTTCGGCGTTTGACAATGCTTTTATCTGCAACACCTTGGTATTTGAACGACTATAACCCAGTCAACACAATATTCATGAATGAATGAGTTCGCAGTTATTTTTGAAAGCTTATCCTTACGTTGGAAAGCGTTTGATCTAAGCTGGTTTGTGGTTGCAAGGGGTGCGAAGCGAGAAGCACCCACTCACAATCTGGTGCAGACGTGTGTTTCGTAGCCTTGAGCTAGAGTGTGTCCAGGTACCAGTGTCAAATCCTTGCAGCGCTATTTATCTTAGAGATTCATTTAACGCTAAAAGTTCGCTGCTCATTTTCCAAGTGTGTCCTACTATAACCAAGTTGAGGATTAGATAAATCTATCGGACGTTTAATACTGTGGTATTGGAAATACAAAGGCGATAAGAGTTCAGCTTACAGTACCAAACAATGAATCTTAATAAAGCTTTCAAGTGTTATCCATATCCAGTCATCAAGCTTCTGAAGAGCAGTGAGCAGAAAAATCCTTCGATGAAGCTCACCCGAAATTGTATTCTCTTGTCATTCGATTTGCATTACTGTTATTACTAACTTTGCTTTTCATAGTATCCGCTCAAAATTTTAATGGTTTACTCGTTTCATTACACCTGCGCCCCCCCCCCAGATAGACAAATTTTCAAAATTCCGTGCACATATTTTCATGAATGTACCACGAATTTCATCATCGCTTTACGCAATAACTTGCCTAAATTTATTTTCAATCTGTCAACAACAACAACAATAGGTTAAACGTTGTGGACAGATAGTTTTAGTTGTAAAACTTGATGGTAAATTACCGAAAATATATATTTCCTTATGCTATTTATCTAATCAATCACCATAAGGATTTGAGAGTCAAATTCAGGTCACTTATAATTTACTTGAACCGAAAACGCTGAAAATGACCTTGCTATTTATTGAAAATACAAAGGTTTCTCGAATATTGTACTCAAAATACATCAACTCGGCAAACGCAAAGTGGTCAAACACAATTTTATAGAGAACGAGCAAAACAATTGATTGCATCCACACTACACGGCAAATAAAGTTAAGGGGAGTCGATCATTCATACTAAACGTTTCGCTAGACATTGACTAACACCAATTGCTTTACCATTTATTTTAACAGAAAACTTCGTGATGTTCATTGTCGTTATCCTGTTGAAAGCGGTATGCAGTGCGACGAGTGCAAAGGCTGGTACTGCGAAGTTTCACGAACTTAACGCCTGCTGCTTTCAAACGGTTCAGTAAAAAGGGTTGTGTATGCCTTTGTCAACAGTGCTGCTAGGATGCAAACAGCTTGCTAACCGAGGCCATCTCACTGGTTGATGCTGCAAAGAAGTGTTTTAGCAAGCATAGTCGAAACACATCGAACAGCATTCGAGCTGTCGACACGCGAATCAACGTGAAGGAAACTAAGGTTAGTCCGATGATAGATGACTCTCGCCCGTCAAAGAAGGAAAAGCACTCCCCAAAGGGGCCTTAAGCAAAAGCTCAAGAAAAGTAGGGTCATCTGTTCCCCTCCTCCAGATGGGATCCAACAGGAAACACCCAGAAGCCGCAATTGCAAAGCTCGATCGTTTTCAGCGGTAAACATAACATGACCTCTCAGGTCGTCGACAACCCCACAAAATCCAACACTAGGTTTGACGTAACAGATATTGCTTCTACCAGCATCGTTGACGAATGGCTACAGGTTGTAAGGAAGAAAATAAGTAGGGTAATAAGAGGGATTCCTGCCCCCGTAAAAGTAGTTGAAAAATCGAAAGCTGATCATAGCGACAGAGAATGATGCCGGAACCACTCCGTGTGAAGCACGAAGGCACTTAAACAGGCTTCGCATCTGTTACACCAATGCACGAAGCTTGCTTAATAAGCGATCGGAACTAGGTGTACAGATTGACGCTACAAAGCCAGACATAATCGCAGTCACAGAAACCTGGCTGTCACAGGCTATAGGTAGTATGGAACTTGATTTCGAGGGTTTTAGGTTAGTAACGGCTGACAGAACACAAAAGAGCAAAGGAGGGGAAGTGGCTCTATTCATTAGGAATGTTATCCCATTTGCCATTATCGGTAGTGTATCCCATGAGAGCGATCATTTTCAAGCTGGTTTACTCTGTAATTATGAAAAGCCAGGGTCGCTGAGCAATCTGGAACTAGCTAAACGCAGACTAGAGTGTTTAAAGAAAAGCTCACAAAAGAATTGTGATGGATAAACATCCATTTGGAGCCATATCCACCCTTTCTTTTGCCATTTTCTTTCTTCGGAAGAAAGTAGATACATTCGGTAAGAAAGGAGACTAGGAAGTCTCAGATAAATATCTCTCTGTCGATGACTACCTAGCCTCCATTAATGATGTGCAGTATGTAATTGAGCAGGCGAAATCTCTTGGTTCACTGCTCAAAATGGATGTATTTAGACTTACCAAGTGAACAAGTATTTGTCTGCAAGTGCCCAAATCAATTCATCGAGAAGAAAAAGTAGACGCCGTTGGAAAGATTGTCTTTGAAAGGCTTCCTACGAAACTCATGTTAGGAACATGCTGGAACATACGGTTTATTCGCCTCAATTTAAGGTTCGCCTCCCAACATTTTCCTCACCAGGCGAGGTATATTATCGAGTGCATCCTCACTGTATGATCCCTTGGGATTGTTAGCACTATTCATGCCTCCCGTGAGGCAGTTACTTCACTTTTTGTGGGAATTGGGACTAGGCTGAAACGATGAGACTTTCAAAGGCGAAAGAAACCATTGGTTGAAATTTTTAAGTGACTTTCAGAGGGTTGGTTCCACAACCAGAACACTCGCTCTTGAAAAATCATGTATTCAGTGATGCCACGGAAAGTGGATATCGTGCGGTAGCGTATGTCCGCTGTTATACCGCTGGTACCGAATAGTGTTTACATTTTCTACAGATCCATATTTCCTAAAGAAACCAGGGTAGCAATAACCGGTACAATTGGTTATAATAATTATTGTTTCCATTGAATCAATCGCGTTCTCTTGATAAAAGTATGTCTCAACATGCTTATAAAACGTCATGCAGGAATATGACGCGCTACAAACTTTCCATAAGAAGTTTCTGTATTTAGCCTAGTGACATTTACAAATTTGTGGCTAAAGCAACTGGAAATTATATAAATGTTAGTACAATATGCCATCCCGTAAAATAGTTGAACTCGCATGGATTATTTTGGAAAATTAAATTTAATGAACGACATATGTAAGGCCGTTCGTGACGAGTAGCAATGATCTAAATGCATCTAGAATAAAATATGAAGTATGGCAATTAATTCTGGGGTGCTGGGTGCTGTTAACCTTTTCGTCACT